TAGCTCAGCCACCGTCCCATTCACAGCCACATCAACCCCTATGCTCACCTGCATCAAGTCCCACCAAATCTAGGCTGAGGATGTCTCTGCTGGCACCAAACTCCAAGCCTGGTCCAGTCAGTCTCCTTTCCGACCCTCTCCAGCAGGCTCCTCCTAGACAGAACTGCAATCTAACACCACTCAGCAACTCCCTCCCATCCAGCTCCCAAAGTCACATTCTTTGACAATTTCACAGAACCTTCAAAGCAGAAGGAACCTGGTTCAGAGAGCATCTTGCTTCACAGATAGGGAAACCACGATGTGCTCAAGGTCCCACAAGCCCTCTCCATGCTGCCTCTCAGACATAACACTAGTAACTACCATGACTGATACCTCACACAAACGCATGGCATTCTGCAGCATTTTACAAGGATGACACAAAAGCACAGTTTCCTTGATCTCTGTATGGAATCACGACACTAAAAGATGATATGTAATTCCTGTGGCACTGTCTACGCGGGGCCTGCATTCCACCTGATGGCTTTCCTTCTGGCAGCCCTCTACACCCTGCATGGAGAGCACAGCTCAAGCTGCCTGTGGACTGAAAGTTGCAGCTACCCCTCCCATGCCATCCCCTCGCACACAAGCTGTTAAGAGTGTAACGGTTCAACTACCCGGTGCAGCTGCTCCAGGGGAGGAAAGGTGTGGTCATCCCTCAAACTGTATTCACAATACAATTTTCTGCAAGAAATACCATCCATATTCAAACAGGCACTTGGGCATTTGAGCCTGCTACGACCATGAATGCTTTAGTACTCATGAACTTTCAAGAAGTCTTAAAAAAAAAAAAAAAAAGGCAGGGCCTTGTTAACCCTGGCTTGTTTTCTTACTAGTTTATGTGGGGAATAAAGTAAACAGAATGTACTAGACACACATCCTGTAATGAGGCTATCAGCCTTATGGGTGTCCCCTTTGAGTTCTAGCTACCTCATTCTCAACAGCTATAAAGGTTTGTAGACCCCTGATTGTATCTTTATGCAAATTATTCGTTTGTGTTGAAACTAGATCCTTATCTTTTCAAACACAGAAGACGATGTGGAATGGTATTTGCGGCATGGCATGCGTTCAGAGGCTACAGAAGGCAGACAGAACAGATATCAACTAATAATAAAGCTGCAAGTTCCAATCACACAGGGAAGTCTCTTACTCAACATAGATTCTAGAAAAGAAATTAATGTAAGCAATTACACAACAGTGCCAGCTCCTTAATGGACATTCAATCCAGCTTTCCCTTACTTAGAGACCGTGGTTTTGATCGTGGTTGTAAACTCAGCTAAAATACTTGGCTTCCCAGACTCCTTCTAGCCAGGAATGGCCATGTGACGGTTCCAGCTAATGCTACGTAAGCCACAGGCTTGTTTGAAAGCATCCCCCTTTTTGATGTCAGTGCCACCACCAGGGGCAGCTAGCATGAGCAGAAAAGCTAATACACTCTAGCGACGGAAAACAGAGTCAGAGACAGCTTGGGCCCCTCAATGGCACTAGTGAGTAGCTATGCCAGCCACAAACTGCCTATCATGTGAGACAATTACTCCCGATGTGTTAGTCCTTATTAGTAAGGTTTCCTGTTAATTACAGCTGAACATACTGCTAGCCCATTCAAAATGGTATCATCTCATATATATATGTATACAGTGTGTATGTGTATATACATATGCATACGGCTCAATACACTTCACAATGCAGTTTCCATTTGATCCTTATAACCACCATGAAGGAGGGTGAACAAACTTCAATTCCCAGAGCCAGAGTTTGCCATCCCTGCACTGCAGGAAAAGTGACTTACTTAAGAGTCTGATGACTAATAAATATCACCAAGGCTCAGGTCCACAGGCCTTCTTCTACCACATAGAGCTGCCTTCCAAGATATACAACTAGCTGTCACTGGAAAACATTAATCCCCCATATCTTTCCCCACATTGACTTCAGGTGCCAGGAGGGTCCTCACGGGTGACACCCATTAGACTACAAATCAAAATGTTTCAAACAATTGGGTGACCACAAGACAATAGTAGAAAAAAATTTATTTTTAATGTAAATCAGAGTTATAAAAACATTCTTCTTCAATTCTTGCTAGAGTAGGCTGAGCTGAGCAGATAACTACAAGCATGGCTTTACAAACTTTACAGAGCACTGCCATATAACATAACACAATTTATCTTTGAACTACATTTTATCTCTGATGATAAGACAAAAGGGGCTAAAATACAGCCTTTTCTTCTTGACTTCCTGATTTAGATTTTTTGACTTCCTAACTATTATACTCTCACATATTGCTCAGGGGCCCAAAGTTTCATTATTTGATCTTAGACGCTATCTAAAAATTAAAAGAAGTCTAAAGTTGCAGTCATTTCTATCTACAAAATTTTCAGAGGCACTCCACTGCTCTTAGGATAAAGTCCAAAATCCCAAGGCCAGCTGTCAAGGCTCTCCCAGCTCTAGCTCTGGGCCCCAGGTGTGCCCCCAGGTTCAGCTGGCTCCCCACAACTGCTTCCAGCCGGCAGCCATCCTGACTGTGGCTCTGGGAAGGCATGCAGTCCAGCCCTCTCATCTGGCTCCCCTCCTCTCTACCTAATTCCTGGCCATCCTCCAGGCCTTGGCTTCGATGCTGTTCCTCAGAGAGACCCTAACCGCCAGAAGCTATGCCCAGTCCACTTGCAGCCCATGGTACCAGCATGCACCCTTCCCTCACATTTCTCTCATTTTTTCTCTGCAAAACCACCTTGCTTGACTAGAAATTCTGTGAGGAGAGGGACCAAGCTCATCTTGAGTGTCTACCTGGCTGAATAAGTAAATGTCAGATGGCATTTACTCAAACGCTCAATTCCACACCTGGAGTCCCCAAACCAAAGGAAGAGAAACCAACACGGGCTTCAGATGTTTTCTCGGGCTCTCCAACCATGGCATGTTGGCTTAGAAGCAGGAAGGGCAGGTGTGACAAAGAGACTATAGGGCTAGGCACCACTTCTTTGTCCCCCTTTCAGTTTAACATCCCTGAATCTTTGCTAGAAAGCAGCACTCTGTGTCCTCAGAACACAGGAACTGAGGCAAAGCGAGCACCTCCTGTGCGAAAGGCACTGGCTATGCTCATGAACACTGCCTCTTCCCACAGCATTTCCAAATGTTCCAAGTGACTCCGACACTCAGTTAGGAGCTCCTTCTGATGAAAAGCACTATAATAGTGGCTTTCAAAACAACTCAGTTACCAATGACTCAACCCTGAACTAAACATAAGAGAACACAAAGTTGAAAATAAAGGCACAATCTCAGAACTTGGGATAGTCTGAGGGCTAAGACAGTCATGAATGTGACTTGAGAACTCTCACAGAAGATATATCAATAGACACAAAGTATACATAGCAATTTCTCACTGATAAGAGGGTTAACCTGCTGAAAGATACCAGGACAAGTAAACACAAGATTGGCAAATTTGGAGATGAAAACTTTGTCTAAGAAGGCATTTGTTTCTGGAGAAATCAGCCCCACGTGTGCCAACACCATCCTTGGTGGGACAGGAAACTCAGGTACAGCCCTGTGTTCTGCTGAGCAGAGGGTCCCATGGGTTTTACAAAGCGCAGACAACATCGCTTTAGGAAAGCGTTAGAACTAGTCCTTACTGTGTCTACTCCTTTTAATGCGCACTCCATGGGTCTTTCAAAAATACTAGTCCAATGGCCTGGCCTTTTAGACCTTACTTTGGAACTCAGGAGGCTGTTTGTTTTTCCTGGATGTGTTCTTTTCCCTGTATGGAGAGGAGGGTCAAAAAAGAGTCCCATCGAGGGACTGTGTTAACTTCTCTTCCCAAGTCCCCAAGGGGCGTGGTTTCAAAGGCAGACATTTCCCAGCGACATGCCTGACCTGTCTTCATTCACATCCCCATCCAGGAACTAGAGTTGTCTAACTTGCGAGCGCTCAGGCTAGGTAGATTGCCCAGGTGAGCTTCCTTTGTTTAGAAAGCCCATGAAAAGCTCTTGGGGGGACTGTATATCAAAGTCAAAGATCAATCACTCCAGCGGAAGTTTGAAGAAACTCCTCTCATGGGACAAGAACTTGAATGGGGCGGGAGGAAGTCCCAGATTAAAAGTCCCCCTGCCCCTTACCTGTGCAGACTCCATCCCTGGATGCCTGCCCACAACAGCATGGGAGCTCGCTCTCTCTTTCTTTCTCTCTCTCTCTCTCTCTGCCTAATAAATCATTTTTCTGCAAAGCTCTTTGAATCCGATATTTACTTGAACAATCTCACTGCGCTGCCTGGGTCTCCTCCCCATTCGTGGGTGAGTGAGAGACCAAGGACCCGGAAAAAACACATTCAATGGGGAAACAGTAAGCGTCACTGAACGCCCCTGCAGCCCTGCTCCTGTCCACGGTTACATCGTCTTCACAGTCTTTGCAGGGGGGTGGGACGAGCAGCAAATAATTGTTGTCCTGTTCTTACTAGAAGTTATCTCTACACTGCAAATGGCCAGGGAATACCATGAGTTATAGAAATGCCATGAATCCAGAATAGAATGAAATCAGTGTCTGAAGGTTAAAGTCTTCCTACGAAACACTAGAGAATCACAAGTGGAATGTTTTGAGAACACCTTCCTAGTGTATACAAACACCTGTCAGCCCTGGCAAGTCTGCGCAGGCGCGACTACTTAGGCCTGAGGACTTCATCGTTGGGAGTGGTAGAAAGGCTGGTCCCACAGTCAGAACTAGGCTTACCGCACCACCACTTGCTACATGCTGACCTGAGTCATATCATGTCTTCCATATGCTTGGCACTGGGCCTTGCCTGATTCCAAGGCCGTCACTGGGCTTGCATAAGCTTCGTACACGGAGGCTCTGGGTAACTGTGGAATGCTGTCCATCATTATTACTGTCTTTCTGAATTCATTTTCATTCACTGCTAAGTTAATGTGTGGTATCAAATGGCTTACACAAAGAACTGACACAGGTCCCCTTTATTTTTGCCTTACCGGTGTTATCTCTGGCTACAAGACCCTTAGGAAAATCCCCAGGAGTTGGAGAGGTCCTGCTGTCCCACTTGACCATGTCAAGACTGTTACAATATTCCCATCTCTTCTGCTGAAGCTCCTGCAACCAGTAAGTCATGAGTTGGCGATTGGGAGCCTAGAAAGAGAAAGGAGGAAAAACACGTTATGGGCACCAGTAAGACGACGAAGAGCTTAAAAAATGTATGTCTCATGAGTACAGACTGTTCACCTTGCCATGTGAGAGTTAAGATGAACAGATCAACAAAATCTCAGTTACAAGATCAGTAGCTTTCGCTCATGATAAGTTGGTCAAGCAAATAGCAATTGTAACATAAAGAACTGAACCCAATTAATAAGAAGTCTTTTCAAATTCTAAAGTTAAAGAATAATGCAGTATAACATTTTCTTCAAAACAGTTTAGGAAGGTGTGAAAATACTGCTGCTCCTTCACTATGACCACCTATAAATCCCATCTTCGGAAATAAAATCTTACATAGGTCTAAACGACAGCCTTGCCAAATCACATGAAATAATGGTATTTAAGCTCCGTCAGCATCTGAGGATATACAAAGAAAACCGCAGATTAAAACTAGCTGGCACTCCTATTAGAATGGCTAATATTTCAAAAAGTTGACAATGTCCAGCGCTGACAAGGGTGCAGGGCAGCTAGAATTGCATAAGCTGCTGGTGGAATGCAACATGGTGCAGCTACTTTAGAAGACAGCTTAGCAATTTCTTATAAAGTTAAACATACATTTACCAACTGACCTGGCAAGCCACCCCTACATATAGCCACCCAAGAGGAATGAAAACGTATTTGCACTAAGACCTGTATGTGAATGTTTATAGAGGTTTTATTCATAATTGTCAAAAAATGAGAACTTCATCTGGTGAAAGGCTTAAAAAAAAACTGTGGTACATCCATACAATAAAATACTATTAGCAATAAAAAGGGGCACATCAATTCTAACACATGGATAAATATTAAATGCATACTGCTAAGTGAAAGAACCCAGACCCAAAAGGCTATATACTGTGTGCTGCCATTTATGTAACAGCCTGAAAAGGCAAAATTGTAAGGACAAAAAACAAATTTGTGCTTGCCAGGGCTTGTCGGGGAGGTGAGCAGCCGCCTACAAAGGTGCAGCACGAGAATTTGTGGGTAACAGAACTGTTCTGCATCATGGCTCTGGTAGTAAAGTCATGATTCTATGCATTTGTCCAAAATCATAGAATGATATACATAAAGAGTGAATCTCATTAAAAAAAAAAATCAACCAAGATCAGGGAAGGGACCCAAAACAATGAACCTAACTACGAACAGACTGGACTGCAGATATGGGTCACGGTCTCCAGGCTGCCCCTGCAAAGGAGTCCCATGAAGGAAGGCTGCCGTGACACAATTATGGGAATCTCATCGACACTGGCATCCAGTGACATGTGCAGACATCAGACACACTGGTTCCCGAGATCAGAAGCAGTGAAGAAAATGGCTCTGCAGGCCTGACAGCAAGACAGGCCTAGACCAAACTACTGCTACCTACAAGCAAACCTCTGGGTGCCGTGGCTACAACCTGGGTCTTTTTAGTGACACTTGCACACCTGGCCACAGATAAAGAAAAGCCTTCATTATAGGATCTTTGGGTATTTTACAGAAAGTTCTTCCAGTCAAGCTGCCATTTCACCCATTCCTTCAACCAACATTTGCCGAGCACCTGTGAGGTACCCGGACCTGGGGCTGGCCTAGTGAGAAAGCCGGGAAAACCAACCCGTAGTTTCCATGCTGCATTAAGTGCTACGACAGAAAGCAGAGCCTGTGAGGCGGGGCTGGCATGACAGGAGAGCACTGGGGAAGGACACACAGCCAAGGAGGGGAGGTGCAGCAAAGGACGAGGTACTCAAAGTTCAGGACACCTGCCACCTGCAGGGTCAAAAGCGCCAAAGTATTCGCTTGCTGTCTATCTTCTCCAAGAAACAAACATCAAGATGTTCCATTTCTCTAGCATCTAGCTCTGTGTCAGGCACATAGTAGGGCAGTATTTACTGAATACATACATGAAGGAATAAGTGAATGAATGAATAATCAGAAAATGATACAGCAGCTTGGTCTTAAAGGGGGAAGCAGGCGGTGGCCAGAGGAAAAGAGGTTCCAGAGAGAGAGGAGTGTCTACAAAAGTACAAAAGCCAGAGAGCAGGAGTAAGGTGAGGCTGCTGTGTGGCAAGGACCTGGCCCTTGGGAGTTGTGTGCCTTCCTAAAGAGGTGGAATGGGGAACTTAGCAGGGCACTGACATTATTAGACAAGGGCACCGCTGGTGAAAATGGTGGTGAGGAGAAGGCAGGTGCACAGTTTGCACAGAAGGAGGAGATTAGCTCAGGCCAGAGGCCGTGAGCCCGCTTGAGAGATCCACGAACTGCAGCCTGGAGTTGGGCGGCAGGCTGGTTGCAGGGTAGACACAGGAGCTTAGCCTGGCCCTGGGGCAGGACAAGGAGCACACAAGCATTCCCACAGGAGGGGAGAGGAGAGTCAGCAGGCAAGTTAGGAACTGAGAGACACAACCACAGCCAGATTCAGAGCCCGAAGCCCACCTAGGCCTCCCTGTTTTTTGCAGATGAGGGGACAGAGGCCCAGAAAGGAAAGTGACTTGCCTAGGTCACACAGGGAGTCAATACTGTGAGCCTAGTCTGCCAACCGTCCCACCGCCGCTTAGAGGCAAGTGTGCGTTTTTGTTGGGGAGTGTGTGTGTCTGGTACTCCTACCCGCTCCCTGACCACCTGGCCCCTCCATCCCCATGCCAGGGTGAGCTGAGCACCCCGGAGCCTTCTGCTGCAGCCAGGGAGGTACCCTACTTCCTGTCATTCAGCCTGCACACGCGGCTGTGTTTCTATTTATGCTCGGGAGCCACAGGCTGCTCGGAGGAGCTGGCACACACTCACTAGGGCAGATCTGAACCAACCTCTCCGGCTGCCTTTGACAATGCAGGCACCCTGAAACATCTGCTTTTTACAAGAAATCCTTTCCCTTTAAATCTCCAAGTATTAAATCTAACAATTAGTGACCTCTGAGTCATCTCTCACTAAATTCCCCAGGCAAAACTTTTAGATGACATGCTTCCAATGACTGATATTATATCATACTGCAGAAATCTGGTCAATAAGGCAGTTAATCAAGACACTGATGAACTGGGTTCATTTCCTTCCAAAAAAAAAAATCTAGACGGCCAGGCATGGTGGCTCATGCCTGTAATCCCAGCACTTTGGGAGACCAAGGTGAATCACCTGAGGTCAGGAGTTCGAGACCAGCCTGGCCAACATGGTGAAACCCTGTCTCTACTAAAAATATTTTTTAAATTAGCCAGATGCCTGTAATCCCAGCTACTCAGCTCAAGCCTAATTAAATGTATAATCACAAACCAGCCTCTTCATCGTCCCAGTGCCAGTATATTAGTCCAGATCTGCCTTGTCCAGCATGGTAGCCACCAGCCATTAGTGACCACTGAGCATGTGAAAGGTGGCCAGTGCCACATGATAAAATCTTGTGGATACACTGAATTAAATAAAATAGTATTAAAATTAATTTCACCAGCTTAGTGTGGCTACTTAAAACTTTTAAAATACATATCTGGTTCACATCGTATCTTTACTGAACAGTGCTGGTCTATACCACAATGGCAAATATATTCCATTTTGAGAGCCAGGGTTGGTGGGAGATTTGGCTTGGCAGGAAACAGCACTTCAGGATTATAATGTAGGCCAAGAGCATGGGGCCCATGGGTGTGTGGGGCAGCCAACACCACTGCCCTTCCGCAGCACCTTATAACTCAAGATAACTTCTCTCTTTAAACAGGTGCCTCCATAGTTCCAACCACCCCATGGTCCATTAAAGTCCAAAGAGAGGCCAACATTCTTGAGGAACCCAGGCATATGGACGAGATGCCTGGTTGACTCCTGTCATGAGATCTGCTTGAGAGCTGGAGGAGATCTGCTTAATTCCTACTTCTGAGATACTCACAACAAGCAAACGTTTTCCTTTACGCCAAGAATAAAGCACACAGCTTTAGTGCCTTTACTCAGTGCTCCCAGAGTGGGCTAAGTAGGACCTTTGAGTGATTTGGCTATACCTTGCTGGGTCTATCACCAGGAGTTCCCTCTGCTGAGCCTCAGCTCAACTGTGACAATGAGCCAAGCCAGTCAGCGCAGAAGCTTACCGCCAGGATCACATAGCACTCACCAAAGACACACCACCAGAGGGGTGAGGACTGGCAAAGGATCACCATCTGCCCCCCTACCCCTCAGAATAACCATTTAAAATGCTGTGGTCCCAAGTTCTGGAGAACCAGACAGGCATTCCACTCATGCTAGAAAAAACAGGGACAAGGCAAAGCTCCACAGATCAGCAGAGAATTGGGAGCTGATGCCAGGCAAGCACTCAACAAGGTGCCAGGTGTCAGTGTGTGCTGTCTGATGGCTCACCCAGGCCATCTCCTGAGTCTCCCCTAACACCAATCTCTCCAGCTCCTTCCTACTCACCCTTCAAGGTCTAATGCAAAGGCCACCTCTTCAGAGCAGGTTTCCCTGACCTGGGTGTGCATTTTCTCTTCACTCTCTGAATGGGGAGTTCAGAGAACCTTATAGCCCAGGTAGCCTTCCCATGGGGATGAGAACACTCCCTGCGCGTTCCTCACTAACCTAAGTTCCAGAGACCTGCTGGTCTCAACATGATCCAAGATGCCTTGCACAGTGCCTTGAATATAGTTCAACACTCAAATATCTGACTCCTCCTCTCATGTTCAATTGTTGCTACTTCCTCAACACTGCTAAAATCCCAGGTCAAATATGGCACCGATCCCAACGTAAGAAACCAAGACTCACATCTTGGAAAGCCATTGTAGTTGTTTCCTACATGGCTGCATGAACGTCCTGGGGGAGGGAGAGGGGCAGACAAGAATTGGGTGGGCACAATTCTACATGGCAGCCATCTGCTGCCTTTGGGTGCCAAGACATGAAGGCACCAGTTCAGAAAATAAAAGCAGGCCATCCACATTCTGCATGAGATGGGAATGCAGTCCTTGACAGCTGGCTGAGAAGTACCATGTGATGCCCCAGCTGCTCCCACAAGCTGTTGTCCCCAGGTCTCC